TTTAGAAAATTGATGTGGAAAGACCTTTTTAATTCTTTTTGTTTTGTTTTTAATAGTTCAACCATATAGCATCTTAATCTTTGCAATGATTGTGCGATTTTGAAAATTGTATGCATTGTGTTGACCAGCTACCCTACAAACGTCTTGCCGTTTATTTACATAATATTACTATTCTTATTACACCCTGTTCACACGACACAACGGTTTGACAACAATATCGGTGCGTTGACACAAATTCCGGATTGAATGGCAATGAATCCGGAGTCAAACCACTTGAGGTAGGCAGTTTGACATTTGAATTCAACTTACATTAGATTTGAACCTAGAATAATTATACCCGATGACGCAAATGCATATTCTTATCCAGAATATCAGTGCGTATGCTTGCCATTTACTATTTCTTGCGTAAGAAAATACGTGCATGCGTAAACATTGATTTCACTCGTGGTAGGTGATTTTTTGCATTTCTTATCTAAATCTAGGACACGACAGTAAGAGCTTGACATGTGATTTTGAAGCATGCTCATCATCGAGGTACTCTGACATCTATTTGTTTTTTCTAAACTTTTTCTTTCTTTTTGAGTGACTGCCCTATTATACACTTTGAAATTTTCGAAATACTTAAGGATAACCCGAGGAATAGATTACCTTAGCTGTATTTGGCAAACCTTTCAGAATTTTGGGTCCTCAATGCTCCTAAACTTTGTTCTATATTTGGCCTTTTTTTACTTTTTTGATTCGAGCGTCACTGATGAGTCTTTTGTAATCGAAACGCGCGTCTGGCGTACAAAACTTTAATCATGACCACGTGTCCAATATGAGTTCATTGATTTTTACCAAATATAAACTTTTTATATAAATTTGTTCTTTTGAGTGCATGTTTGGGTATTCACAAGACTTATGAAAACAAGATATTTTTTCAAAACTAAGTTTTCCTGCCGAATTTTTGAATTGATTTAAGTTACTTCAGGAAATCCTTAAACATTATAATGTTTTATCTGACCAAAATAATTGTCAGTATATATGAGGTTCTAATGAAGCTGGTATGTTACTTTCAAGAACAAAATACGAAATCTTCTTATAATTTGTGTCACAGACTGTTACACTTCACTTGGAAATTGGACATTCAATTTCTCTATACCACCTCTTCCATGAGTACAGACAGCTTCAATGAGTATAAGAATAATCTAAAGCATCCAGGAAACAATTAAAATATGAAGATATGAAAGATAAAATAAACGCATCCAGATTATAAAGCAAACTTAGTGCTGAACTTTATATCCTGATTGGTCTGTGCAATTTGCTTTAGACATCCGGTTTGCAGAAATTGAGAATTGCAATAGGATTAGGTCTTTGTACATAAAACAGGGGAACAAATTATGTACACTCCCAAGTATTAAATAAAATAGTCAAGCCTTAAAAGGTAATTTCAAATGGTAGCTGTATACAATTTTCTATTTACAACTAAAATCCAATAATGATTTTAATTGAATTGTGCAAGAATCTACACACAATAACATATTTTCAATAAAGTTGTTTTAAAATCCTCATTACCTCGTTCTATTAACAGTCAATTATTTCAAATCAAAAGCAAAGATAAATTCAGCAAAAAATATTTGGTGATCGGTCAGCAGTCTCGGGTTTACGTATTTCTTTTCTTTTTTTAAAGAAAGCAACTTGTTTTCTTAATTATAATGCCCAGGATGGCTTGAAATAAGATGTGAAACCGCATTTTATGGTGCATAACAGGCATTTAAGCTAAAGCCTGTTTCATATGTGTATTGGTTCCTATATTTTAAACTAGGATGAACTCGAATTTCGATTCATTATGAAAAGAATGGGACGTTTTCGAAATATCTACTGTTTAGATTAAGCAAAGCTTGTATACATCTAGGATTTTGACATACAATTTATATTCAAACACGATGGTCTCGAACCAGATGTTGTTATAAAAAAAACCAGTTTTAGTGAAAAAGGGTCACATTACTTTTTAAAACACTTGATTTTTAAGTTGAATTTCCAACAAAAAAAGCAACTTTAAATAATATAACCCAAATAATACGGTCGTTATATTCCTCTGCTCTACGAAGACTATATTACCGCCTGAAGGCCTAGTAAATAAAAAAATCAACTAATCATTCGGAATGAGCTCTGGACTTACCAATCTCGATAACATTAAGGTACAAGCTTTTTAGCTCTCACATCAAGAGATCACCGATCAAAATCCTGGATTTGTGATACTTTTTAATTGTATAAAGAGTTAAAGCACTCGCGTGGTATAGATCGATCACGAGAAGGGCCCAGCTTTTTTTTAAGTAACAATAAATAAGGTAGTGAAAGTTAAATTTTCTATGTCAAATAATTTGTTCCACATTTTCGAAATTTTGAAATGCTATATATAGTTTATTCCAAAAACATATTTTTATAAGAAATTCATTTGAAATCATTCTTCAAAATGCGTTGTAGCTGTTACATATTAGAGCGGCTTTGTCAGCAATATGAACAGTTCTGACTTAATCACCTTTATAAATCATTGGAGTAAATGAACACTTTCTTCTTGTACTTTTAAACAATAAAAATTATCAAATTTGAGGCCGGGTTGATGTCAGATAAAACATTCTTAAAATTCAGAGAGTAATTAGTGAATCTTTTGAAGTTGAATACAAGTTACATTGACGCATGTGTATCATATGCCCCGCGCACTTCCCCTTTTCAGAACATTTGCATGACCTTAAAGATTACAATAGCGAAATTATTAGTTACATTTTACCGGCAACTTTTTTAACCCACGGATGGTACACATGATATCTTGCTTACGGAAGGGATAAATGATAATTTATACAGGAGCTTCTCAGTAAGATTGAAACAAATTAGTTTTATCCTTTAACAGCTTGAAATAAGGATGCCACATATACAGTTTACTCTACAACCTATCTGACCTTGCATCTCGAAATTGACAATTAAAAATAACAAGAGTGCACTTGCTGAAATGTCTCGCCTGCATTACTTATGATTGAATTTATGTTGAAAGTTAAGATTGATGATCCATAAAATTAAGGTCAAGGTCAGATGATACATGCCAACTTATAATCATTTCATACACCAAATTTAGTGGCCATATTGCTAATAATACCCGAGAAACACACCAAACCACAAAAATTTAACATTGACCAATGAACCATGAAAAAAGGTCCAGGTCATATGAACCCTGCGAGACACACATGTACACCTTACAATCGTTTCATACAACAAATATAGTTGAACTATTGCTTGTAATACCTAATAAACTGACAAAACCATGAAAAAATTAACGTTGACCAATGAACCGTGAAAATGAGGTCAAGGTAAGATGAAACCTGCCAGTCGAACATGATGAGTTTAGCCCTTTTCAACTGACTTTTATAGTTTATTCATATGTTGTACTGTTACACCACTGTCCCAGGTTAGGGGGAGGGTTGGGTGCCCGCTAACATGTTTAACCCCGCCACATTCTGTATGTGCCTCTCCCTGTAATTTAGAGGATGTCGTTTGTTGCTGTATATCATATTTGTATTTCGTTCATTGTTTTTTTTACATAAATCAGGCCGTTAGTTTTCTCGTTTGAATTATTTTACATTTGTCATTTCGGGGCCTTTTATAGCTGACTATGCAGTTAGGTTTTGCTCATTATTGAAGGCCGTACGGTGACCTATAGTTAGTAACTTCTATGTCATTTTGTCTTTGGTGGAGAGTTGTCTCATTGGCATCTATACCACATTTTTTTATTTTTTTATTTACACCTTTCAATCATTTCATACACCAAACATAATGGCCCTATTGCTTATAGTATCTGAAAATTAGGCCAAATCACAAAAACTAAACATTGTCCAATGAACCATGAAAATGTAGTCAAGGTCAGATGAAACCTATTGCTTTTAGTATCTGAGATACGGACTTGACCACGTAACTTTAACCTTAATCACTGATCCATGAAATGAGGTAGAGGTCAGGTGAACCCAACCTGATTGACATGTAGACGTTGCGCCATATACCAAATATACTCATATTACTCATAATAAGTGAGTATTTCACTTGACAAATTTTTTTTTTCAAGCAGTCACTGAACAATGAAAATGTGGTCAAAGACAATGGACATATAACAGACGGAAACTTCGTAACATAAGGTATCTGCATACGAGGTATGAACATCCAGGTCTTCTAACTTGTGAAATATAAAGCTTAATACAAATAGTTTACGCCGTCGCCGCCGCTGCCGGATTCTAATTTCTATGTCTCGCATTCTGTGACTCGTCGCAGGCGTGACAACAATGACTGAAGAGATGATTTCACTTTTCACATTATGAACTTTCCATTTCTATGCAATATATATATATATTTCTATTGTAACATGCATCTCCGAATGAGACGTTTAACCGAATGTGTACGTATCATGAACAACACGTCGAGTGCCACACATTGAACAGGGTCAGCGTACCCTAGCAGAGCACCTGAGATCACGCCTGTTTATGGCATGTTAAGTTTTGCTCAGTTTTTAGTTTCAACATATTGTGTTGAAGGCGGTTGTTTGTCCTTAGTGGTTTTTCGTTTTTTGCAATGTTTTTTTCGGGTTTACTTCGATTGTTGATTTTGTATTGTCCTTTTGTTTTCCACCTCTTTTAATCTCTAAATAATATTATTCTATGTTACTAAATTTCTTCGCTGTTTTCCAAACTATTAGCAAAGCGTAAAATTAAAGTTTTGCTCTTTCCTAAATCAAATATTAAATTTCATTGCATTTGTTAGATTTCTTTTGTTATTTCACCACACGAAAGAATAAAGCGTTTAACATTTGTATATTTGTTATGTTGCGATAGAGTTTATAGGTTCTTTTCCCGAATTTAGTGTATTTGCTGCTTGTCTGCATTATACTATAATGTAAACGTGTTCATAGAATAGTTCAATACTTGTAGTAGCTGTAATTTGGTCAGACATACATTCAAATATAAGACAAAAAAACTTACCATTTTCATACGAACAAGTGTTGATTTTCGAAACAGACAATGACACAAGAACTGTGTATCTCCAGCTAAGACATGATTTATAGATTTTTCTTTGCGGTCGGGAGTAGGGTGGTGGTATAGAAGATAAATAAAACACTTTCACTCTTGCTCGTTTATATCCGTCGTCGTTCTGTTTTGCGATCGGTAACATATCTGTGCCAATTATCCAGGCTCGGATGATTACAGTATCATTATCAATAAAAATTATGTCTTTGTTTATAAAATCCGGTCTGAACACAATTTTTTCATTAAGTTTTAAAGGAACATTTCGAGTTCTTAACGATCCTTTTGAACATTTCCAGGATTTATGAAATAACTTTGAATGCACATCCTTATAACTATATGTTACAACAGCTTCTATTTCAACAGAAACTATTTTTTGTCCCGAGCATAAATATTGAACTTTCAAATTACTCGCATTTGTTAAAACAGACGGTGGATTAAATACTTTGACATGCTCCTGATCAAGCAAAACGTCTTTGTGCACAATAACAGACATTGGTTTTGGGGCTGCCTCACTCGACTCACAAATAAGAAACTGCAAAACATTAAATAAGAAGGAAATAATAACGTAATACAAAAAGTAAACGAAAACATTGCTTATTGTCGAGCTCGCGACATTTTGTCGCGGAAGCAAGACATTACGATCCTTCATTCTGTCATCGTCGGGGTCACACTATGTGAACAGTGTCCACTGTGGATAAAATCATAGATACCAGGATTAAAATTTAAACGCCAGACGCGCGTTTCGTCTACAAGAGACTCGCTCACAGTGATGCTCGAATCAAAACAGTTAAAAAGCCCCAAAAAGCACGAAGTTGAAAAGCATTGAGGACCCAAAATTCCGAAAGGTTTTTCCAAATACAGCTATGGTAACTTTTTCCTTGGGTATAAAATGTGCCTTCGCATTCTCAATGTAATGCGTCTTCCATTTTGCAACACAACATTACAGCAGGATATTCAGTTTGGCATGTTTTTTTTTTTCTAAATTGATTCTTTTTATTTTTAATAACATGTTACAGAATGAATTTTGAATACATTAATTGCATGTTTGCATAAAAATAATTATAAAATTAAAAAGTATTTGGATGTATTGTCTGGACGTCTTATCGCGTTCTTTTTGAATTTTGACAATTTTATTCATCTTTATTATCAAACAAGTATGATCCTTAATATTTCTGTATATTTTTACATGGAATGAATATACATGGCCGGTTTAATTTGCAAGTGTACTGTGACTTCGCGTTCATAATCTGTAAGTTGTGTACCGTGCCTTCATGTTTTTGTGTACTGTGATTCGTGTTGAGGTAAAATATTACAACCTTAGCCATCAGTTTTCATATCTTGTGGTGATCATATCGGTTTGTAATTTAAACTTTACGATATCCTTATATTAGCCGATATATGTATTGTCTGTCCTTTGACGTATAAAAGTCGAATATTCTTGTAAATTGTCATTCCTTCACAAACTATCCTTGACTCCGGATAAACACCTATAGTTGTATTTGGGTTTGCATCTAGAGGATATGTTCAGTTTTTTTGCCGTCTTCACAAAACTTTTCAGTCTGTCATTCTCAAAAAATATTTAAAGCATGTGCGGAAGTAATCCTGGTTTCATTTCATTACTTTGATACAGATGGTTTGCTATTAATTTGACCTTGATGGCACGGCAAAATTGAACTGTGTTAGATAGAATTGAGAACAGAGACGGGGAATGTGTCAAAGAGACAACAACCTGACCAAAGAGCAGAAAACAGCCCAAGGCAACAAATGGGTCTTCACCGCAGCGAAAAAATCCCTCTCAGCTGGTTACTAAACGTTAATGTATACTAGTTCAGCGAAATGGACGCCACACAAAACTGCGAAACGTATAAATAAACCAAAATAAAAAAAAACACACAAGACTAACAAAGACTAGAGGTTCCGGACTTGGGACAGGCGCAAACATGCGGCGGGGTTAAACATATTTTGTGAGATCTCAACCCTCTCCCTACACTTCTAGCCAAACGAGGAATAAACAAACACACAACATTACGCACAGTAAAACTCAGTTTAAAAGAAGTCCGAGTCCGATGTTAAAATAGGTAACAAAAGAAACTAAGCAAAATGACAAAAATCAACATAAATTAACAAAGGACTACTATAGACTGGTTTAAGTCATACTTGTTTGAACGAATTCAACAAGTTAAGGTCAATAATTTCATGTCTGATACTAAATACATAAAAACTGTTATACCACAAGGTTCTATCCTTGGTCATCTTTTATTTATGTTATACGTCAATGATTTATCACTGAACATAGTAAATTCATTGATAGATTTTTATGCAGATGATTCTACTTCACATAGTAATTGTAATAATGTACATGATTTAAATGCTAACCTTCAAAATGATATTTATATTATTGAAACTGGTGTTCGGAAAATTGTATGAAACTAAATGCCAAAAAATGTAAATCAATGATTATCGGTTCAAAACAGAGGCTTTATTCAACTGGGAACAATTTAGATATCAATTTTTCAGATGAACGATTAGAGACTGTAGATTGTGAAAAAAAACTTATATATCGACAATAACCTAAGAAGGAATGATCAAATAGAATTAACTTATTACAAAAGATACGAAAGTATTTACGTATTATATAGATACAATGAATAAGCGTTGATTCTTGAAAAAGAAACCATGAGCCCGGAGGGCGAATGGTTTGTTTTTCATGAATCAACGCTTATCCATTGTATCTATAACTTAAACTATTGTGCTGATGTCTTTTCAAAATTAAAGCCTTTTCTAAATTAGAAGGTATTGTAAGTGAGTTTAAATAACCATGTTATCATGTTCAACGATGCATTAATGAATCTAAGGTCACAATTAATTGGTTAGAGAAATACAAATATAACATAACACGTCTGTCTTTATAATTATAAATAACATACAAAATAAGAAAAACTGAAAAACTAAAGAATAGGGACAACAAAGAGAATACCGGGATTCGAACCTTAACCGACAAGTCTCTACCTTTAACTTGACTCTTTAACTCATTGACCATGCTAACCTTGCGGCTACCAACTTATACTATACGATTGCCTATTATGTATATATAAAGGTACAAGCCCTGTGTATCCGTTGTACCGATGTGTATCATATGTTCATTTATATATATAAAATAGACATCTAAATTACAACCCATTGGTAGCCGAGAGGTTTCGTCGATGTGTTGATGTCAGTCACACATACCAGATTTCAAGGAGGGGTTCGAATCCCAGTGAAGGCATAAACAAATTACGCCTTGGGCTTTAAATTTTCATAAAACATGACCAAGTATTGTCTAACCTTTACTTATTTTAATGCTTATATTCTGCCATTGTTTGATTATTGTTGCAATATATGGGGTAGTTGTAATGAAAGTGGAATAAATAAACTTAATAAGTTATTAATGAAATCTGCTAGAATTAGAGTAGAAGCTGACATAATGACATCCTTCACTTTATTGTTTTTTAAATAGTTTAAATTGGTTGAATGTGGAAAAACAAATTCAATATCAAAAGGCAATACTTGTATTTAAATCATTAAAGGATATGGTTCCTAACTTTTTACCAGAAAAGTTTCATTTTACTTATAATCAAAATTATAATTTACGTTCAGCTGATGAAAAACTATTAAAACTTCCAAAGCCAACAACAAATTTTTTGAAGAAAACTTTTATATATTCTGGTTCTCAAATATGGAACAGTTTAACAAATGAAATAAAGATGAGTAATACACTTGTATCTTTTAAAGCTAAATGTTACATTATCATGGAGAAGGCAGATTACTATGTTATTTCATTAATATCTATATAAAATTGTACATTTTGTATATTGTATATACATATTATAATATTGTATGTACTTTATGTATATGTTATTATTATTTTGAGGACTCTCAGGAAGATTAGTTTTAAATTCTATGTTGTGGTGTTACACTATTGTTTCAGGTAGGGTGAAGTTTGGCGCCTATTAAAACGTTTAAACCCGCTGCATTTGTTTGCACCTGTCCTAAGTCAGGAACCTGATGTTCAGTGGTTGTCGTTTGTTGATGTGGTTCATAAGTGTTTCTCGTTTCTCGTTTTTTATATAGATTAGACCGTTGGTTTTCCTGTTTGAATGGTTTTACACTAGTCATTTTTGGGACCCTTTATAGCTTGCTGTTCGGTGTGAGCTAAGGCTCCGTGTTGAAGGCCGTACTTTGACCTATAATGGTTTACTTTTACTAACTGTCACTTGGATGGAGAGTTGTCTCATTGGCACTCATACCACATCTTCTTATATCTATTAACTAATGGGATTATCCTCTTGAAATAAAGATTATTTATTTATTTATTATTTATAACAACCAGTTAATCAGATTATTACAGGAGGATTTTGAAAATAAATAACTCAGCCTTGATAATCACCAAAATAAATGGTTTGTTCTGTGGTAGTTCGAAAATAAATAACCTGACCTACAATGTATTGAAAATAAATAACTCGGCAGGTCTTTAAGCCAATTTATAAATGCTATTCCAAAGTATGAGGTGGCACCAGATTCTTCATAAAATTCATCTTTTTTCAAAAAAAATAATTCGGGAAACACTTCCCAAATCTTTTAATAATAAAGGTATAAATATTATTTAAATATACTTGAAATGTCTGAAAATGGGTTTCATTTAACTTGAGGCATATTGGCTCAGGAACACTTACCTCACTTTTATTACAGGGCTGTAACTACATTGAGGCAAATGCCTTTATGTAGGAAATTTTAAAACCAAAAGCTTGTCTTAATTCATATCAAATTGTTTTCACAGCGAGTGTTTGCAAGAAGCAAGTTCTGTTCTCCCTTGGACGTAGCACCTGTTTTTTTCTGGATCAATGTTTCTTTAAATTTGTCTTTTGTTCATTGATTGCCCTTCTGTATTCTCTTAGTGTTGCATTCCTTTTGTGATTTAGTAATTTTGTTTTCAACTTGATCATGAGTTTTATTTGATTCAAGACTTTTTAGCTAATTTTACAACTTAACTACTTTAAATTGTATCCCAGTTAAGAGCTACATCAAGTTGTAATTGAAATGTGTTATTAAAAATTACTTGACATAGTTATATCACTGATAATCAGCCCCCTCTTACCTTAATTTGAATAAAACCCCATATAATTTACAGGTATAAAAGATTTAAATTCTGCATGCCGAAACAACAAAAAAAAACAACAAAAAAAACCAAAAAGACCAGCAGCCACATACTTAACTATGTGAATTACATTTTTACTTTATTCTTCATATTGGTCTTTTGATGTTGTCCATAAAAACTTAAGTCTTACGCTGAATCTATACATTTTGCTTTGAGACCAAAATATTGTCAAAAAATTATTAAAACAGAACTTGCGTTTTCAGAATAAGAAAGGGTCTGGGAACGCCCAGAAAGCACGATTTTGCATCATTTGTTCTATAGTTTCTTTGGGCCTTCAGCGGCTTCAAAACCCTTCAAAATTTTTTTGCCTCGCTCCGCTCGGCGTAAATATATTTGGCAATACTTTTAAGAGAGGCTAGTCACAGCCCAACTCTAGTACCGTGTATGTATGCAATACATGTATATGCAGTTTGGAATTCAGAAGATTCATTTCCGCAGAGGATGATGATTAATTCTGATTAAATGGTACATTAATGACTTGACTGTACATGTATTATATATAATAAAAAATGAATTTAAAAATTGTATGTTTTCAAATATTATTAATATAGATATGAAAATAAATAATCAGTCCCTTGTTTTAATGAAAATGAAAAATCTTGCTTCAACAGTGCAGAAAATAAATAATCTGTCCTCTTAGTTTACAAAAATAAATAACCGATCCAAAACAAATCATACTCCCCCCTGTCCTTTAAGGGAATATCTCTTTCCATGTGTTATTTTTGTCGTAAAGAAGCGGGCTTTAACATTTTTAGCGAATTGTACGCTGATAAAACTTGTATGTTTACTGTGTTGTAAAATATATGACATTTATAGAATTGTCAATTTCAGCGATCATACATTAAATCAATCAATCATGACTAACAATGAGACAGACTTGACACGTTGTCTTTTAAATCTATCTACAATTATTTGTGCGGTTATGCAGTTGTAAACTTAGATTCTTCTGGCTGCTAGGCCATCTGCTAAGTAACCATGTTCGCCGTACAAAAACCAAACAAATTGCCCCCAAAAAGAAAACCGTCTTACAAAACATGTGCCTGTTGCCAATCAGTAATCGCATTATAACCTGTTGACCTTAAATCATTTGTGCATACGCTGTCTCGTGATGAACATACTGTATTGCCCTAGATCAGACGACAAGTTATAACCTTTTAACCGGTCTGAGTGTGGAAAATTCCAGAGTGTTGACATCTACACGGATGACAATGACAATGACAGCAAGGCAGGGCGTTACTAATCGAGAGGAATTCAAATGAAATATATTAATTATACTTCTCTGTAATAAATCATACAAAAATGAAAATTGATAAAATATGTAAAAAAAATGTTTTTCACCCAGAAAACCCTTAAAAAATCTTAATAAATAATAAAAAATAAATTAATAAATAAGATGGAATCAGAAGGAATGAAATAAAGTGAAATGCTCCCGACCACTGTCTTTTAATTTAAACCAAATTCTAAATAAAAATAGGTTCTATGTACTAATCAGTTCTGTTCTTCCTCTAAAACTTTCATCATTCATGATCACAATGCCAATTTATTTATTGTACGGTGGAGCCTTAAAATATATATTCAATGAATATATGTCATAATATTCGAATCTTAGATCAATTTTCTTTTCTTTTACAGCACACGGAGGCGGTATCTTTGGTTAGCTTGCTTGCTAGCTGAACCACGAAATCTTTCAAAGAACAGACTACTATATTCACCCTATGTAAGTTAAATTTACATATTGAACAGACGTGCACTCTTAACTTAGCTTGTATTATGTCTCACCTTTAATAAATACTACAAGCGAAGTCAGACAGTTGACTAATTTTGTCAGATACTACATTTTGCACCCGAAGTAAATTTTCTTTGGCATTCTACATTATGACGATTAAACTAAATAATAGAGAAGGGCACACATTTTTACTGACTATTATAAATCTCATCATATAATGTTAAACCTCTGCTTAAAATAGGACATAAACGTTCGTTTATATTTTTGCAACGCTAACGGGGGCACTCACATATCCTCCTTTTTAGCGTATTAACATACATGATCTATACTATCTTTTACAAATTACACTTGCACTTGCATATAAAAAACATACTAGGAAAAGAAAAAAGATTTTTTGTTTTACATTTTGTCATGTCGGGGCCTTTCATCTATATGGTATGGGTTTTGTCCGTTGATGAAGTCCGTATGATGGCCTGTAGTTGCTTACACCGACGTTATTTAGTATCTGGTGAAACGTTGTCTCATTGGCAATCAAATTACATCTTTAAAAAAAAAATAATTTACATTTATTTTCATGAATAATCTTATTTGTTCTTTTTGTATTTCGTAACTTCAAGTTTTACAAGGATTTCCGACCCGAAGCCGAAACATGCATGTTTCATCGTAATTTTTAAAATTGTATCAAATGCATTTTGTATTGAAATACACCACAATTTGACTTTTAAAAAAATAAAATGTTAACTTTACCTTGCTTGCTAGAATTAAAACAAGGAAACACTCGTAAAAGTCGATGACATTATTCTCATACATTGTCACAGATTTTTTTTTTTTTTAATATTTCAGTCACCCTAGTTTATAAGTCTACGTTGTACATTGTACCATCTGTTGCATTTGTCAATAACGTTCGTCACAACTTTCAAGTAAAGTTTTATATATAACACTAAAATATCAATAACTATTATAGATATTATAAAGAGATATGTTATTTTTCATCGTGACTTTACATTTCGTCGTGTGAATCTTATAATGATGTATTTTCCAATTTTCTAACTGTTGGGAAATTGAATATGAAGTTTATAAGCGCAATATCATAAATATTTGACTGAGACATAAAAAGTTATAGAGGAATTGAATTTACGTACGTGAAGAGTAACTCTTTGTTCGATTGTTTTTTTTATAGACAAGCAACTTAGATGAATACGGCATCCCCTTTTCTGGAGATTGAACACTTCATTACAAGCAATGTTGTTTTATAAATTCCAGAGGCGGATTTAGGAGGGGCCCAGAGGGCCCGGCCCCCCTTTTGTGGGAAAAATTTGGTTGATTATTTAGGGAATCACTGAAGCATGACTGGAGCGGGCCCCCTCTTATGGCAGTCAGTGCCCCCTCCCCCCTTAAGCTATTATAATTCAATGGGAGTTTGGAGATAGCGCAGTGTAGTTCTGACAAAAACTCGTAGAATGTAATTATCTCGTATTATAGATTTATAGGGAGATAGCCATTCCACTTGGATATCAAATATATAGCTATCTCCATTTTTATCAAAAGTTGACATATATAGGGGATACTATAAGATTCACACGACGATTTGTTTTCGAGGTAAGAGGCAACAAATGTTTTCAGAATACCCTGACACTGTACTTTTGTGATCCAAATAAAGCACAAGCTATTAAACGAGAGTATTTAGTTAATTTGAAATTTTGATATGAAATTCATTTTATGAATGTGTTATCTGAGGTCAATCGGTGTAATGACGTCATAGAACGATCGACTCTAACTGTGTGGGCAAACCTAAAATAAAATTAAGGATGTTTGCTACTTTGTTTCAAAATAACAAGTTTTTTAAAAGACTGTTATGAATTGATAGTATATTTATAACGGAACTTAAGAAGAAGAAAAAAATTATAGGTCCGTGTGCTTGTTTTTGAGATATAAGCCATTGAAAATTTGGCGGGAAATGATTCTCTCTAGATTTTTCATAAAATTAACATTGGCAGCATTTTCTTTCAAAAACTATGAAAATAACAAGGTTTTTATAAGATTTTCAAATATGACTTTTAAAACTATATTTAATGAAATTATGAAAAGAAAAGAAGGGGTTAATGGGCAAAATTTTTAATGGGTACTAGATGGATAAAACCAGAGGATTCCTAATATCTGACAAAAATTCAAAAACAAGAGGAGCGAACATCCTTAAGCAAATTTATTAAACCAAAAATTAATGTTCTGAATTATTTATAATTTCCATTTAATTCATACAAAAATTCATTTATTGTGTATAGTGTATATTATACATGTATGAGAGAGAGTCTGGGTAGGGTTTACAAAATATAGAGTAATGGACAAATTCAAAGTAACGAGGAAAATGACCCCTAAATTCAAGATTAATAAAGGTATATGAATATATAAAAAATAACTATATTGTATGGAAAATGAAAGATTATTATAACTTTTTTTTTTTTTAAACAAATAGGGATTTCAGAAATAGCTTATGTGCAGAATTAGGAAATCATGTAATTAAAGTAATATTCATATAAATAACCTTTGTTTAAATAAATAATTGAGAATTTTACAGATAAAATCTTTATTCTTTTAAAGACAAAAAAAAAATAAAGGGCTTTAAACTTAAAGAATGGAAACATGAATGACCACCCATCCAGATCCCCTTATTATATTTTAAAAAGTTTGGCGCCCTCTGTTTGCTTAAACAATTCCAGTTGCAGGGTTGATGTCTTCTGCATGTAGTAAATATTTTAATATTTGTAAAATAAACGCACTTGTATATCAATCAACAATTGAAATTAAAATTATTAATAATGCAAAATGTATTAGAATTGCAAACCTACTTTTTCCAATAATTAGATCTGTGCTAGCATATCCAAGCATAAGAGAAAGATTATGGAACTCTTTCTTTAATGACGTAAAACATCCTACATCCAGTGGTTGCAGTATATGTGTGGTGTTGGGTGGTAGACAGAATATCTCTACATTTCTCGCGACAGCCAAATCTATCAATTCTATGGGAGGTGACTTTCATGGTTACCCATGGTTAAGGGTATGTTGTGCTGACAGATATGCGAAGTTGAGTTAAGGAAGATGTCTTTAAACCATTTGATAAAAAGTTCTGAATCTATATTCATTCGGGCTTCTTCCAAATAACCAGGACTCTGGAATACCTGTCATAAAAAAAATACAGGTTTTCATTAAATTCCCATACATTTCCTTTGCCATGAATGTAAAGAGAACAAGTTAACAAATGCATGTAAGTAATCATAGTAATAACAAGTTAAAAACAGAGATTAAAAGGATATTTTAAATGCATTGCATCGCAGGATTATCTTTATACTTTGGTGTTTAATGCTTTTCAATTAATGAAATATTTTTATTTTAATTATATCCATATTTAATTTAAAGAATATGGGTATGACTTTTTTTATTGTGCCTTAATACAGCAGCTCATATCTTAAATTTCACAAATTTGCGATCAATTTCACAAAAAAGTTTACGAAACAAATACTCGTGTAAGTCCTGAATATCTCAGTATAAGTAACAATCAATTTTTGTCGTAGATATTTTGCGAAAAGAACCCCAGGATTCAACTTCATCAGGTATGTAATTGGTAAAGCAAAGAGAAATATATATTTTTTTTATTTTAATATTAAATGTTACCTCTTCTGTATGCACCACTAGGAAAAGACTTCTTATATACAACCATTGTCGGAAGGACATTCCCATCAGCTGATGTACACACTACAGATGTTGTATGCTCTGATGTTGTTACCATTTTGTATAAGAATGTGATGATTATGGGTTGCAAACTTTGTCTCTAACATAGTGGATTTTCCAAATCCAGTTTCATCCTCATTAAATATAAATTGTCCTTTGTCAAAGATACATGAAAAAGTACAAACGAATCAAATAGAACATGATCAATATATAAAAATTAAACATTTGCATATGAATTGATTACCGCGCTGAAATACGTCCATTATTCATTTTTCATTATTGAAAATTCAATAATGAATAATGAAATAGTTCATTATTCACTATTCAAAGTTTAGTAATGAATAATGAATAATGAAATAGTTTATATTTCAGTATTCTAGTTGAAAAGTGAATAATTAAATAGATCATTTATTTTTTGACTGTGACACTATATCCCGTATTTCTGAATTCGTCATTTTGATGTCAATTCACATATATTCAAATTAATATAAAGACAAAAAATTCAAAACAATATTTTTATCTTTATTTATTTATTTAGTTTCGGAGGATAAACTAGTGGGTTTCCGTAACTATTTTTAACAGAAATTCCTTTTTTTAATGTATGGACGACCTGAATACCAAAACATATATAAAAATTAAAATACTATGCATTGGTTTTTTTTATTTTTAAGGACCTTTGCGATCCTTCATCCCCTGATTATAGATATAACTTGTCGATTGTGTCGCAATGCCCATTAGAGGGGCTACGGAGACCTAAATGCCAAAATACGCGTGAACATTAAGAAATAGCCTATTTTGAATAATAAAATAGACTGCTGCGACTCTTCAGCCCCTAATTATGGAGATACCTTATACGTCATTCGAAAACTTATTGATAGAGGAACAAAAGGTATGTAATCAATGTGTGCCGCAATGCCCATTAGAGGGGTAACAGAGGACCTAAATGCCAAAATACGCGTGAACATTAAGAAATAGCCAATTTTGAATAATGGAATGGACTGTTGCGACCCTTCAGCCCCTAACTAGAGAGATACCTTATACGTTTTTGGAAAGCTTATCAATAGAGGAACAAAAGGTATATAATCAATGTGTGCCGCAATGCCCATTAGAGGGATACGGGGGACCTAAATGTCAAAATACGCGTGAACATTAAGAAATAGCCTATTTTGAATAATGGAATGGACTGCTGCGACCGTTCAGCCCCTAATTACACAGACGCCTTATAAATCATTCGAAAGCTTATCAATAGAGGAACAAAATGTATATAATCAATGTGTGCCGCAATGCCCATTAGAGGGGTTACGTAGGATCTAAATGCCAAATTACTCGTAAACATTAAGAAATAGCCTATTTTGAATAATGGAATGGATTTTTTGAACAATAGAATGGACTGCTGTGACCCTTCAGCCCCTTATTACAGAGATGCCTTATAAGTCATTCGAAATCTTATCGATAGGGAAACAAAAAGTATATAATCAATGTGTGCCGCAATGCCCATTAAAGGGGTTACGGAGGACTTAAATGCCAAAATACGCGTGAACATCAAGAAATAGCCTACATTTGTATTTTGAATAATGGAATTGACTGCTGTGACCCTTTAGCCCCTAATTACAGAGATATTTTATATGTCATTCGAAAGCTTATCGACAGAGGAACAAAATGTATATAATCAATGTGTGCCGCAATGCCCATGACAGGGGTTACGGAGGACCTAAATGCCAAAATACGCGTGAATATTAAGAAATAGCCTATTTTGAATAATGGAATGGATTGCTGCGACCCTTCAGCCCCTAATTAGAGAGATACCTTATACGTCAGTCGAAAGCTTATCAATAGAGGAACAAAAGGTATATAATCAATGTGTGCCGCAATGCCCATTAAAGGGGTTACGGTGGACCTAAATGCCAAAATCCGCGTGAACATTAAGAAATAGCCTATTTTGAATAATGGAATGGACTGCTGTGACCCTTCAGCCCCTAATTAGAGAGATACCTTATACGTCATTCGAAAGCTTATCAATAGAGGAACAAAAGGTATATAATCAATGAGTGCCGCAATGCCTATTAGAGGGATTACGGAGGACCTAAATGCCAAATTACCCGTGAACATTAAGAAAAAGCCTATTTTGAATAATGGAATTCTTATTTTGAATA